TGCTTGGTGGAGTTCACTATTTGAGTTCTATTTGCAAACTTTCAGGAGAGGCTCTGTGATGTCACGAATGATGTCACGAATGATGTCACTACATTCTGCATGACGTCACCAATGATGTCATCGCACTCCGCATCACTGATTTCAAAGAGCCTTTCTTCATGATCACATGACATTATGCAGTAATTATCTTCAGTCAAGTAAAATACAAGTAAATACAAATACAATTGAAATTCTTGCACTATTTCAATTGTATTTGTATTTACTAAATGTATTCAAAGAATAGCGAAGGGAGAAAATAATTCAGATTTTTATTTCACAATTCAACCTTTTTGAATTCGGAATTTGAATTTCGGGGCTAAAAAAGAGTATGGCTTTTAACGCCACAATTATTGCATTTTTTTTTTGGAATTCTGAATTTGACAAAAGATTTGCAAAGGGAGAAACTAAGTCAAATTTTGATCTTGAAATTCAGATTTCTTTTGAGAATCCTGAATTGTAAGTGAAGAATTCCGAGGATGAAAAGATTTGTGATGTTTAATTTCTGAATTTAGATTTATTTCTGAGATTTTAAAATATGAATTGTGAGGGGACACAAAAAATAGTTCTTAATATTAATCTCAAAACTCAGATTTTAAACTCCAAATTATGACTTTATATTCCTGATGCATAAACTGTAACTTTTTGCATAAATTCAAAGCTAAAAAACATTTCCCACATGTTACCCTATCCTCTTCCCTATCCATCACTTCCATAGGTCAATATTTAGGGCTTTTTCTTTCTTTTCTTTGTAAAGTTCTGTTATTCTTTCTTGCAACACACTGCTAGAAGAACAAAAAACATTTATACTAAGAGATAATAATTCACTATACTGTTTTGATCATTGATGGTTCTGTTTTATATTGAACATAATTGAACCTGCTGGCATTCACAAATCTCACAATTCGACCTTTTTTTAAGAATTCGGAATTTTGAGGCTAAAAAAAGGTCGAATTGTGAGATACAAATCTGAATTATTTTCTCCCTGACACACTCAGACACAGGAGGGCAAACACAGGAAGGAAGACAAGAGACAGGGAGAACAGCATTTCAAAATTAAACCATTAAAACCGTGACAAAAAAATATTTAAGCTCCTACCATATGGGGAAACAATCATATTTATGAGAACACATTTAGAAAATTAAATCTGAATTTCTAGTTTGAAATCTGAGTTTTGAGATTTAAATTTGAACCTGTTTTTCCCCCTAGGAATTCTGAATTCAAACTAAGCATTCTCAGATAAATTATGATTTAGATCTCAAAATTCTAAATGTATTCAAAGAATAGCGAAGGGAGAAAATAATTCCGATTTTTATCTCACAATTCAACCTTTTTTAAGAATTCGGAATTTAAATTTAAATGTCGAGGCTAAAAAAGAGTATGGCTTTTGCCACAATTATTGCACCAAATAAGAGCAAAGTGAAATATTTCTAGACCTGGTGGACAGAGCCAGTAATACAAGTAAAGTCAACACCCACTCAAAACTGCCACCATGTGGCAGATAAGATATTTTGCATTAATTCTTAAAATATAGCGCCCCCAGTGTACCTATTTGGTATTACATCTGGAAATTAAATATAGCGCCCCTAGTGGACAAAAGTTAGAAATATAATAGCGCACTCTGGTGGACATATTGTATATACATTATAAATAATACAATTCAGTCACACACTAGTGTTCAAATTTAGAACAATTATATTTAGCACATATTTGTATATTTAAAGCATTACACATAAATAATTATTATCAGAAGTACAAAAGGGATTAGTAATTAATCCATAATAATTTCAAGTATTCATCGGTGACGTCATCACTTCGGAGTGACGTCACAACGTGATCATGCTCCGCAAGGTATCAAAGCTGCCGATCAGCTTTTTTACACAGGGCAAGCACTGCAAGTCTTTTGCTTGGTGGAGTTCACTATTTGAGTTCTATTTGCAAACTTTCAGGAGAGGCTCTGTGATGTCACGAATGATGTCACGAATGATGTCACTACATTCTGCATGACGTCACCAATGATGTCATCGCACTCCGCATCACTGATTTCAAAGAGCCTTTCTTCATGATCACATGACATTATGCAGTAATTATCTTCAGTCAAGTAAAATACAAGTAAATACAAATACAATTGAAATTCTTGCACTATTTCAATTGTATTTGTATTTACTAAATGTATTCAAAGAATAGCGAAGGGAGAAAATAATTCAGATTTTTATTTCACAATTCAACCTTTTTGAATTCGGAATTTGAATTTCGGGGCTAAAAAAGAGTATGGCTTTTAACGCCACAATTATTGCATTTTTTTTTTGGAATTCTGAATTTGACAAAAGATTTGCAAAGGGAGAAACTAAGTCAAATTTTGATCTTGAAATTCAGATTTCTTTTGAGAATCCTGAATTGTAAGTGAAGAATTCCGAGGATGAAAAGATTTGTGATGTTTAATTTCTGAATTTAGATTTATTTCTGAGATTTTAAAATATGAATTGTGAGGGGACACAAAAAATAGTTCTTAATATTAATCTCAAAACTCAGATTTTAAACTCCAAATTATGACTTTATATTCCTGATGCATAAACTGTAACTTTTTGCATAAATGTAAAGCTAAAAAACATTTCCCACATGTTACCCTATCCTCTTCCCTATCCATCACTTCCATAGGTCAATATTTAGGGCTTTTTCTTTCTTTTCTTTGTAAAGTTCTGTTATTCTTTCTTGCAACACACTGCTAGAAGAACAACAAACATTTATACTAAGAGATAATAATTCACTATACTGTTTTGACCATTGATGGTTCTGTTTTATATTGAACATAATTGAACCTGCTGGCATTCACAAATCTCACAATTCGACCTTTTTTTAAGAATTCGGAATTTTGAGGCTAAAAAAAGGTAGAATTGTGAGATACAAATCTGAATTATTTTCTCCCTGACACACTCAGACACAGGAGGGCAAACACAGGAAGGAAGACAAGAGACAGGGAGAACAGAATTTCAAAATTAAACCATTAAAATCGTGACAAAAAAATATTTAAGCTCCTACCATATGGGGAAACAATCATATTTATGAGAATTGTTGCGACCTGGCTCAAAAGGCCACAACAAAAAGGAGACACAACATGTCAACGGGTAGGTAAAGGTGTTTATTTGCACAACACTGGTCAATTCAACACATTGGTTATACTCATCAGAGCCGGGTGCCTGCAGGAAAACAGCGCCAGAGCAGAGAGGAGCAGAGAGGCTTTAAAATAGCTGCAGAGCACCAGACCCAGGTGCCCTGAGTTAATGCAATCACTGCAATCAATGCAGCCAAGACAGGACAGCCACACCCTCTCCACTGATGAACCCACAGGGGCATCACAGCCCCCCCCTTAAGACGGAGGCCCCAAAGGGATCCCCGAAACAACACCAAATATCCAGAGCCAGAGAGACTCCCTACCCCACCGGGGCACGAGAGAGAGCATCCGCCACAACGTTGTCCTTCCCCTTAATGTGCCGAATGTCCAACATGTACTGGACCTCAGCCTCCAGCACCCTACGCTTATCTGCAGGACAACGGTAAAATCGCTGCTTAATTGGAGGACTGTCCCCCACGTCGATATCATGCTCCACGAGAGTTGTGCGCGATGGCGTATCGCCGAACAGTACCACAAACTTCCCGATTAAAGACGCCAATTCATCTCTCTGTGCTGCCGGTAAGTGACTCAACAAGCGATCCAATTGGCATAACGACTCCGAATTCCTCAGCCTACCAGACATAACAGGTTCATCTGGTGCCTTAACATCACACTCCTCAGCCAACCCTCGATCTGAAAGCACAGAATCAACCATCATTATGGGGCCCACACCCAACTTTTTAACCATGAAGCTCTCCCCAACGGTATCACGAACATAGTACGGTTTCAGGAGGTTGACGTGACACAGTTGAGACAACTTCCTCCGATTTGGAGTAGCAATCAGGTAATTTTGATCTGACACTTTACTCTCAACAGTGTACGGGCCGGCAAACTTGGCTTTGAATGGTGAAACCTGCAGTGGCATCAAAGCCAACACCTGATCCCCTGGGCTGAATTCACGATACTCGGCTTTACGGTCATAGAGTCTCTTCATATTAGCCTGAGCACCAGCTACATTTTTCCTTGCCATTTCCACCGCTACATACAGGCGATGACGAAAGCCCTGTATATAGTCCACTACATTTTTAGGTGGCTCACCCTCAACCAAACCATCCTGGAGAACAGATAACACCCCACGCACCTTATGCCCAAAGACCAAATCATTAGGGCTGAACCCTGTACTTTCCTGAACGACTTCCCTGGACGCCAACATGAGCCATGGAAGTCCCTCCTCCCAGTCCTTCCCCATTTCCATACAATAAGCACGCAGCATGGACTTCAATGTTTGATGAAACCGCTCTAGCGCCCCCTGGCTTTGGGCATGGTAAGCCGACGCACGGTTATGCCTGACCCCCAGCTGCTGTAGAATCTGTTTGAACATATGGGAAGTAAAGTTGGTACCCTGGTCGCTTTGAATCACACGTGGGATCCCAAATGTGGAGATGAACTGGGTTAAAGCCCTAACTACTGGCTTCACTGAAATGGAGCGCAAGGGAAACGCTGCAGGATACCTTGTAGTCTGGCACATTATAGTAAGCATGTACGCACAACCGGACTTAGAAGGAGGCAACGGCTCCACACAATCTATGATCAAATGCTCAAAAGGTTGACCAAGGGCTGGAATGGGACTGAGGGGTGCAGGCTTCACCACCTGACTTGGTTTACCAGTGAACTGACATATGTGGCATGCTTTAATATAACTTGCAACATCGCGCTTTAACCGAGGCCAGAAAAAATAGCGTAGGACACGGTCATAGGTTTTTTTTATCCCCAAATGTCCCCCACTATCATGCGCAGTTTGCAATATCACATCACGAAAGCTACTCAGCACCACCACCTGAAACATTGCCTCCCCCACAGCATCACCAACACAGGGCACCCACTTACGCACCAGCAAGTCCCCCTGAACAAAGTAACCCTGGGCTATGTCTCTGACCTTCTCTGCCGGCAACACTTCAGTCCACAGAGCAGAAAGAGATGAATCGTCCCTCTGACTCCTGACCCAGTCCTCCTTTGACACCGACGAAGGGAGATCAGGCAGTGAGACCACATGTACCACATTACTTTTGCTACACTCCGAAACATGTGGGTCAGCAGACATTTTACGGCTCTGTGCACGTGTCACCGCACAAACTGGAAACACACTTGGAAACTGCAAACCACTCTCATCTGGCTCCCCAGATGCCACCGGCCTGGAAACCACCACAGGCGGTGGCACACCAGCCCACACAGCACTACCAGCGAGATCGTTGCCCAAAATCATATGTATCCCATCGAGTGGCAACGCGGGACGCACCCCGATAGACACAACTCCCCGCACCAGTTCGCAATCCAGCACTATTGTATGCCGTGGCACAGGGATCAAGCCCATCTCCATGCCCCTCATCAGCACAAAATCCCCCGTTTCTGTCTCTGACGAAAAAGGCAACACTGACTCAACAATGAATGAGTATCTAGCCGCTGTATCACGCAACACCTTAATCGGCACATATTTGTCACTACCGACTACTGATAGTGATGAACGGCTCAAAACCAGAACCCGCATCCGGGTCGGCACAAACCGGCTTCTTATCAGGCACCATGCCCGAGCCTACACCCAACGGTTTTTTATCCACCACGGCAGAACAACACATGGCTGGAGCATGTGGTGACAAACGAGGCTTCCCCTTCGTTTCCAGCAATGGACACTGCTCCTTCCAATGACCCCCACCTTTGCAATAGTGACATTGGTCCACTTTGGCCCCCTTGGGTCGCCCTGTACCTGCAAATCTACGGGAGGAGCCTGGTGAAAACTTTGCACGGGCATCTCCATTGTCTTCTCCACGTTTCCAATCACCCCTAGAATATTTCTCCGCAAAACTGCCCTTATGTGTCAACACAAAATCGTCCGCTAATTCAGCAGCTCTAAACGCGGTGGGAGGTTTCTGTTCATTCACATACGTGGCCACACGCTGAGGGAGAATGTTTTTAAATTGTTCCAAGACAATGAGCTCACAAAGACCGTCAAAACTTGCAACCTTTGCTGCCGCGCACCACCGCTGAAAATGAGAAGTTAAATCACGGATAAACTCCACATGTGTCTGCTTATCTCCCTTGACCCCACTTCTGAACCTTTGACGATACGCTTCAGGAACCAGTTCGTAAGATTTCAACACCACTGATTTTACTCTAGCATAGTCCAAAGCATTTTCGCCACAAATAGCTGAATAGGCTTCCTGTGCTCGCCCAGTGAGTACACACTGAAGTAACAGCACTCTGTCCGAATCTGACCAGTTTCTTGCCTCTGCTATGTGTTCAAATAGAGTGAAAAAAATGTCCGGGTCACGCTCATTGAACTTTGGCACTAATCGCAAGTAAGAAATTATATCGCCACTGCCTGATGCTAACCTAGCACCACCATCCTCCCCTGGAGAAAACTTGCCCTCTCCCATCAGCCGTAATCTAGCATGTTCCACCTCACATTTCATCTTTTCCACCTCCAGCACCTTCTCCACCTCTAAACGCTTCTCTACCTCCTGCTGCTGACCCCTCATCTCCAACTGCAACTTCTCCTGCTCCAACTTCAACTCCAACTGCAATCTCTCCTGCTCCAATTTCAACTCCAACTGCAATCTCTCCTGATTAAACTGCATGGCCAAAAGCTCCTTTTGCTGTTCGAATGTCAAACCAGCTGTCTGAACCACTACTGGCCCGACCCCTGCCACACCAGACTCACTCTTCTGTAACACTCCCCGCTCAAACAAAGATGACACGATGACAGCTTTAATGTCATGTTTCCGCTTGCTCCCTACAACAGCAATTTCATAATGCTCTGCTATTTCGATCAACTGCGCCTTCTGGCAACCATCCAAGAAAGATACTGAGGGCGCATCCACAAACGCTGACAAAGAAGCCATAATATATTGCCTATACCCAATCAGAAAGCAAAGTACTCAACTGTCAACACGCCTGGGCGAAAAGACAAAACCCAACAGAGAATTCCCCCCTAACTGCCTTACCAAAATCTGCCTAATCTCACCTAGTCTTCATGTGGCTTGCGGCGGGTAATTACGCACTGGAACCCGGCGGATTTATGGAGCGACCTGCACGCAGGTAACACCAAGAAATCACGCGGATGTGCCCCCGAGACAGCTGTCCGAAAACAGCTGACACCAACCACGTCACCACAACACTATGAAAAAAAACAACAGACGGAATCCAAGGGGAAACGCCACTTAAGCCTAGCGGGGAAAATCTCTTTTACAAAAGCGTAACAAACAGCAATATCTTACCTTCTGATTGGCACACAAAACCTGATGCCATGTCAAACACTAAAGCATCCTGAAACCCAAAAGACATGATGTGTCCCCCAAATATCAGCGCAGAGCCAGCACACAGCTGGACCACAACAATGAATCAGCTGCTCAATGAGCACTACACAAACTTTTTAAATAAATAACCCGTTGGACGAGCCCCCATTTGTTGCGACCTGGCTCAAAAGGCCACAACAAAAAGGAGACACAACATGTCAACGGGTAGGTAAAGGTGTTTATTTGCACAACACTGGTCAATTCAACACATTGGTTATACTCATCAGAGCCGGGTGCCTGCAGGAAAACAGCGCCAGAGCAGAGAGGAGCAGAGAGGCTTTAAAATAGCTGCAGAGCACCAGACCCAGGTGCCCTGAGTTAATGCAATCACTGCAATCAATGCAGCCAAGACAGGACAGCCACACCCTCTCCACTGATGAACCCACAGGGGCATCACACGTGACAAAAACATATTTTAGCTCCTACCATATGGGGAAACAATCATATTTATGAGAATACATTTAGAAAATTAAATCTGAATTTCTAGTTTGAAATCTGAGTTTTGAGATTTAAATTTGAACCTGTTTTTCCCCCTAGGAATTCTGAATTCAAACTAAGCATTCTCAGATAAATTATGATTTAGATCTCAACATTCTAAATGTATTCAAAGAATAGCGAAGGGAGAAAATAATTCAGATTTTTATCTCACAATTCAACCTTTTTTAAGAATTCGGAATTTTAATTTAAATTTCGAGGCTAAAAAAGAGTATGGCTTTTGCCACAATTATTGCACCAAATAAGATTAAAGTGAAATATTTCTAGACCTGGTGGACAGAGCCAGTAATACAAGTAAAGTCAACACCCACTCAAAACTGCCACCATGTGGCAGATAAGATATTTTGCATTAATTCTTAAAATATAGCGCCCCCAGTGTACCTATTTGGTATAGAGAGGCGAAGTCCCTCCCCTTCCGAAAGCCTCCATGGGACCCCGGAAGTGGAAAATTATACATTGAAGTCAATGGAGAGAGAAAGGTTATCTTTTGATCCCGTTTCAATTGTGCCACGAATGACACATATGATGTTTGTCAATTTAAAAGAACATTTTGCAAGTCAAAAAAATAAAAATGTGTCGTAAAACTGTGAAGTTACACATTTTTTAGTGTGAAACCGCTCAGTGAACTACAGGTCTCTCGTCTCGCACAATACGCGTCACCAACATAAAGATGGCCGTCACGTTAGCACATTTCACCACATTCTTTCAGAATGAGAATAAAAGTATTTTACGAGGTGAAAATCACTACAAGTCTGGGCACGTTGAGAGCTGTACCTATATGAAAGGGGAGTTAGTCGGTTCTGTAAGAGCCAGCATGCGGGACCGGCTTTACAAGGTTTCGGTGAGTAATATGAGTGCAATGTGTAACGTTAATGTCAGCTAGCTAACATTAGCTAACAAGGTACAGTAACGTGTTTTGTTTTAACAACTAGTTTTCTCCGTAAGAACTTCGTGGTCTCTGTGTATGCTGTGGATAACATTAGTGTTCACAAGAACAAGGTACACTCCCGTGTTTTGTTTTAGTTGCTCTTCAGATTGAAGCGGCCAGTTTTATATCGACTATACTGTATGTGTGATCTCCTTTTTCTCGTTGTGTCATTTGAGTTTATTTGCTGTGTGTCGATTCAAGGATTTTGGTTATCTAGGCACAGCTGTGTGTGACTCCCTCTGGTACACCGGTATGTGTTTTCCTAATGTAGAGAGCATTGATTAATTAATAAACTACACACTGAGTCTAGATCCTGACCAAATCCTTTTTTATTGTTGATCAAATGTTTTTCAAAAATGTATTCATACACATTTAGAAAAATACAATGTACAATCACAACCAATACAACACAAATTACAAAAAATACAGAAAAAACAAACAATAACAACAGACAAGAGGACAAAACTATGGAAAAATAAACCCTCCCACCCCCAGATCCGGACCATCCTTGTATTATTGCTCATTCAATCTATTATAGCATGCTAACAAATGGTACTTACTTTATTTTTACAGATCTGCATGGGAGACGATGGCGCGATGCAGAGCGCTGTCTGTGATTGTGCACGGGGGATGTACAAATGCAGCCACGCTGCAGCATTGGCAATATTTTCCATGTGGCAGATCAGCTCCACAGATGTTGAGTGCCAGTGGAGGAAGCCTGGCACTTCCAAAGTAGTCCAGCCGGTGTCTCAACTTTACCAACAGCGAGAGGAGACATACAACCCACTGGCCAGAGAGATCGCCAACTGTCAACTGGGGGGTTGTAAACGAGGCCGAAGGGGTGAAGGCTTTTGTGGAGGCATCAAGTGACAGTGTTCGAATCGAGTCTGGTCTCTTTGTGAGTGAGTCGGGTGTTCTGGGAGCATCACCCGATGGACTTGTGCAGCCATCTGCCCTGCTGGAGGTGAAGTGTCCACACAGCCAGAGGAACATGACCATCGCGGAGGCAGTCCAGTTACCATCCTTCTGTCTCTGTGAGGAGGGTGGGTCATATATTCTCAAGGAGAATCACCCATACTGGCACCAGGTCCAAGGGCAGCTGCACATCACAGACCGGAGTCTCTGCTACTTTGTTGTGTGGACCACGAAGGAGGCGATCATCATCCCCATCCCCAAAGACCCTGCATGGCATGGAAATCTCCTCCTCCTGGAACAATTCTACACCCAGCATATGCTCCCTGTGTTGGCCAGTAGAGAGGAGGACATTTCAATAAACATACTCTTAACACCCTCGGACTCTGCGTTGTGTTTGGTATGTGTGATGGGGTGTTATGCAGAGGGGAGGAAAACAGGACACAGCAGATTGGGATTGTGGTGGAGATGCTGAGCAGTTATTTAATTGTTGCATGTAATTATTATTATACTGCGTGCTTCTTAGTTATTCCATCTTTTGCTGTAACATGGATCTGTATGTAACTCTATATTTACTTGTTATCTACCACACTTCCTTCTACATCATACACCATCATTATACATGATGGTGTATATAGGATATATATATTTGTATACATATCTGTAAATTGTATAATTTTATTTAAACGTCTTTTTGATCTCTCAAACTGAGTAAGATTGACAATAAAGTTGACTTTGAAAAATATATATATTCTTTATGAAAATAGTTGACTGTTGTCAAATGAATCCAAATGAAACGTTGGACTGAACTACAACTACGCCTTTAAATCTCTACGGACTGTTTTTCAGTGGGATGGCAAGTTCCTATCTTTAAACATTTATTAGTTTTTTCTCAGAACAGATTTGATTTTATGAAGTTAATTTAACTTTGCCGAAGGTCAGGTCTTTGTAAGGTCATCATTAAAAGGTACAATCAATTTGTTTAGGGTTGACTAAAATAATGAAAAACATTCATTTGGATAATTTACTGACAGAATAAGAAACTCAATGATGCTTTACTCACCTGTTCCCTTTTTATAAAGTGAAACAGTTGAAACGATAGATTTTAGTAAACTTAAAAACAACCTTCTCCAAAAGCTATCAAGGAATATACCGAATACTTGTTTTAGAACTTTATTACATATTTTTATATAAATAGTTTGAATGATCCATAATTGACAGAAGCTTGTGTTTACACTGACCTGTTACTCGTATATTAATGTCTTTGTAACTTCAGTAAACCACTACCTCACTAATTTCTTTCATTCATCACGGTTCAGTAAACTAAGTGATACATGAAACAGTTTAATCATTATAATAACGTAGGATTGCAACTCTTTGAAAATGTAGGTGGCTCTTAAAAGAGCTGTTGTGTTTGGGTGTGCTGGTCTCAGGTCAGTCTAAGCCCTCTCTCCGCGGATGCGGCGGGCCAGCTGGATGTCCTTGGGAATGATGGGGACCCTCTTTGCTTGGTTCATCTTACTGGGGGGCAGCTACATGGATGTCGGTGCAGTCCACAATCATTGCGCAGTTGAAGGCAGAATGAATTTATTATTGACTCCGAATGAAGCACAACTTCATGTCATACAATACAATGACTTTATTTGTAATTGTGTAAAAAAATATGAGCATTGATTAGCAAGCAGGACCTGCAGGAACAGAGAATGGTGATGGAGCTGGGAAGAGAGAAGAATAAAGAAAACAGATCAACTTTATTATCGGATATTAAAAATTCAATTTCAAAACAAGTTGCCGCTCCTACAGTTTTCTAGTATGTAAAGATGATTTCACATGACCTATGCAACATATCACACTCAATACATGTGTGTCTCTGGGGGGTGCATTGTGCCTTTGATGTATATAAATAATATACCATAACCAAATACTATTACGTACAGTGGAAATCAGGTTGCCAGAGCAGGTCAGTGTGCATGTTCCTCAACGTCTCAGCAGTTACAGGTGAGGTAAAGAAAATAAAAGAGAAAAAGGTCAGTAACAACACTTTAAAGTAACAACACTTTGAATAATTATCTCTTCTAACAATTTTCTCTCAATAAGCACACAACGACTGTCTTTCCAACAAACAGATTGTCATCACAATGAAACACGTCCAGAAGAATGTCATGCAAAGCTCCCTGCCTGCCTGCGACTCTCCCTGAACTGCTTCCTTAGCACCCGGTGGAGGGCGCAGTAGGCTACTCTTCAAATGTTTCACGAAATACTTACCATCATGTTTGGTTACTGTTTAACATTTTGGTTTACCTCATGTAATAAAATAATAACTTCATGGCAAGGCTACTAAAAATGACAAGGCTAAGTAATGTAATGCTAACTAACGTGCTCGCTACTCGTCGCTACTAGCTAGGTAGCTAACTTGACTATGTTCCATGCACAACATGTATATTACCTATGATATTACCTGATATGTCTGAT